TCTCTATCTCCCTCTGATCAATGTTTATAAACAATGTTACTTTGTATCTCTCTATCTCCCTCTGATCAATGTTTATAAACAATGTTACTTTGTATCTCTTATCTCCCTCTGATCAATGTTTATAAACAATGTTACTTTGTATCTCTCTATCTCCCTCTGATCAATGTTTATAAACAATGTTACTTTGTATCTCTCTATCTCCCCTCTGATCAATGTTTATAAACAATGTTACTTTGTATACACTTGTTATTGGCGGCTCTTTTTGCTGTCTTCTCCTGATAGTTGGTCTGGAGGGGACAGAGGCGTCTGTGTTGGCCGTCATTTGTTGTTTTCCTAGTGCAGGTGAAGCTGGAATGGGATCCCTTTTCTTTGTCTTTCAGCTGGAGACGGGATTTATCTCCAATGAGGACAGCAAGCAGAGACTGGTGCCCATAATGACCTACCTGCGGAAGGAGCTGAACACGACCGGGGAGTGCTCGCTGCCCATAGGTATTGTTGGTATTATTCGCTGTATCTCGTGCCGTGTGGCTAGTAAAAGTTCCTATTCTCTTCAGTGCCATCTTGGGGGTGCTAGTGCCATGGAAATGGCATCTTCCTTGCGTATAGCTGGGTGGATGCCATTCGCTTGGCACTAGCACCCCCCAAGATGGCGCTGATGAGTATAGGAAGTTTTATAAGTGAACCCCAGACTGTTCACTGCTATGTGTTATCATCTGATAGATGAAAGTAACACCATGCACCTGAAGGTGATCGAGCTGCGTGCGGCGCCCCCTACTGCGCAGGAGTATGACGTCCCCGTGTTCACTGAAGACAAGGAAGAATTCTCCAATGCACAATGGGATATAACAACACAACAGGTAAGCGGGAGGGGGACTGTAGTCACATGGAGCTCAGCAATGCTCACTGACTGTTTAAAGAGACCCTGTCACCAGCTTGTAGGTAAAAGCACCGGACAATCAAGGATCTTATTTGCAGCTTGTATTCCTTTCTATAAATAATTTATAATTCACTTGCAATGTGCCTCTGAATCTGCTCGAAAATCTGACTTGCACGGCATAGCTCTCTTCTGGTCTGGTAGTGGTCAGTGGTCTCTTCTGGTCATGTAGTGGTCTCTTCCGGTCTGGTAGTGGTCAGTGGTCTCTTCTGGTCTGGTAGTGGTCAGTGGTCTCTTCCGGTCTGGTAGTGGTCAGTGGTCTCTTCCGGTCTGGTAGTGGTCAGTGGTCTCTTCCGCGTCTGTTAGTGGTCAGTGGTCTCTTCCGGTCTGTTAGTGGTCAGTGGTCTCTTCCGCGTCTGTTAGTGGTCAGTGGTCTCTTCCGGTCTGGTAGTGGTCAGTGGTCTCTTCCGGTCTGGTAGTGGTCAGTGGTCTCTTCCGGTCTGGTAGTGGTCTCTTCTGGTCTGGTAGTGGCCAGTGGTCTCTTTCGGTCTGGTAGTGTCTCATTACTGTCCGTGTTTAATAAGCAGTGTATGTAAATGAAAGTTTCTGTGCCCAGAGTTCAGCTATAAATCAATGTGTCCTGAAGACAGGAATGTTTTTAATGTTCTGTATGAAGAGCTACAAATGTTTCTTCACCCTGGATGTCCATGCTCCATGTTTTAGATTCTCCCGTACATCGATGGGTTCCGCCACATCCAGAAGATCTCCGCGGAGGCGGATGTGGAGCTGAACCTTGTGCGGATCGCCATCCAGAACCTCATGTGAGTAGGTCGGGGGAGTCGGGGGAGGGGGGATTGTAATTCTCCGGGAAGATAATGGGAATATGAAAATAAAATCCTTCAATATTGATTTTCTGTCCTTTTTGTTTTATAATTTCTTCTTTTTGTATTCATTGTTTGCAGGTATTACGGCGTTGTGACTTTAGTATCCATATTCCAGGTAAGAATACTTAATAATTATTTGTGTTACATTCTATTATATGTTTAAGGCTGAGGTTTAATCTGCTTACATT